TTGGTTTTTTGAGACAGGTTCTCACTAAGTAGTTGAGACTGACCCGGAACTCACTATGTAGCCCAGGCTGGTCTCGAACTCACAGTGATCCTCCTGCCTCAGCCTCCCGAGTGCTGGGATTATAGGCATGCGCCACCACACCCGGCATACTCAAGCTTTTTAAATTTAATAATTCTTGTTTATATAAAGAAATGCATAAAATTTAAAGCCTAAGAAGAAAAACATTCTCAATGGGAACACTGGTTAGGACACAAAGTATATGGGTTCTAAGCCTGGTTCTGCTATGAGCAAGCACTGTGGTTTTTAGGCATGTTCTTTCATCTATCCTGGCCCGTTTTTCTCATTGATCAAAGGAAGTAGGTGGCTTTGCAGATGGCTAAGTTTCCTTGATACTTTGCCATTTGCCTCATGACTTTTGGAACTTATTTATGAAGATGAAGTGTCAGTTCTTGAAGTCGGAAGCCCGGCACAAGATTCCTGGTTTGAATTTCTCCTGTGTAAGATGCCAGTGTAGGGATGGTCACTACCCAGGTGACCCTTTGGAAGATGTTTTCTGCCAAGAAATTCTTAAGAGGAAGAGACAATGAGAGTGCATACGATTGTTTTTCACTTAAGGATATAATTGTGAAATATTTCATCTGCTGTGTTTACCTTAGCAGATAATTTGTATTTTTAAAAAGTTGGCTTTTCTCAAAACTAAGCAGTAGTTTTGTATTTGGTCTTGATTTGCAGTTTTTTTTTTTTTTTTTTAAATGTGGGCTTGAGAAACCTTAACCTAAAGGCAGAATGTTCTAAAAATCCAGAGAAAAAGTAGGTAATCATATTCTCCACTAGTAAGGGAAATGTTTGCATTGCAGTGTAAGTCTCTGCCTTGTACTGCTTTTTGTTGGGTACTCAGTGCAGCTTAGTTGTGAACATTACATATTTAGGTGATTATTGCCTATTTTATGGTGATATTTTGCATGTATGTAAGAATATATACATAGCTTATGCCTCAATGAAAGCAGATAACCATTGTGAGATCGCACAAAATGCTTTTATTACTCTAAGCAAGTAAGTTAAAATTGCATTTCTCATTAAGTTAGTGCCTCATCTCATACATACAGTAGTTCACTGGATTGAGTACACAAAAGCTGAGAAAGGAATCATTTTCCATCATTAATCTGATAGTCATAGGCAAAAAATCCAAACTGTATCAGACAACAAATAGTGATCACAAAGAAATATTTGTTGGTATCTAAGGTTTTAAGATTTAGAACTTAACCATGAAGTAGTGATCTGGAAGTGATTACAAAACAGCATTTTAAGATAGATTTCTTATGTAAATTTCAAAATGATTTCTCTATGGGAAACTTGATGACCAGATAATTGAATTAGCCAGTAGCAGTACAATGGAAGCTACATGCAATTCAGAATCTTGTAAATTAGAATCTTGCACATCCTCAGGCATCCAAATAGAATTAAACAACCACTCTTAACCCTGAAAAATACGACATGTTTTCTTCTTTTTAACAGATAGCCACAAAGTATATTCTCAGTTTTTTTCAAGTGGGATATTAAGGAAACATAGCCAATAGTGGAAGGGCTAGATACGCCTCAGATTCTGAGTGCAACAAAGCTAAGCCCCTTGAATCCATGCAGTTTTCATGCATATAGTATGGTGCATATAATATAGAATCAGGAGCTTCATGGGTATTTTGCTTTTCACTGGGAAAGTTAATAGACTCAGCATATTCTGAATAGTGACATTTTTCACAAACCCTATTTTTAGGTTAGTAACTCCTCAGATATACCAACCATTACATTGAAAAGTCCCAGTGGTAGTTAAATAGTGAACGTTTGCCTTTGTGGGTATTTTACAGGTTTACTTACAAAACAGCATATGTATGTTTTTAAAGCTCAAATATTTAAACTTGCAGGAGTCATATTTACAAGCAATTGAAAGTATAAAGCAGGTTTTAATAAAATGTGTAAAAAATGAACACTCAGTGCATATACATTTTATTCAAAGCCTAAGCTTCTGTGTCACTGTAACCCTGTCATAGATTATCCACATCGTCTCTAATTGAAAAGTGGAGTACTCATGTGTCATCTCTACATGTAAATGGACATAACATTAGAACCCTAAAAAATACTCTGAATAAATTGTATAGGACCAAGCATCAGTAAATACTCAGAAAGGCAATGAAAGCATTTTCTCAGAAACTTGTTGAATGACAAGTGAAATAAAACTTTCTAATAATACAAATATGAAATAAGAAAAGAATGTAAAATTGTTTCTGCTTATCCTCCCGAACAAGACTTCTGTATGAGGATAGTGTACTCTGCCTTTCATGCAATTCATACTGCATTTGTGGGTTTTGTTCTTTTGAAAAAATATATCTATACAGCCTTCTTTAAGGTAACAAATACCTGAAAGTAATATGTCTTTTCCCCCATATTTCTTCTCATTGCATAAGCATGAGGCGTACAGAGCAATGCAAGGATAGGGGACTCCAGTCTAAGATAAGAAAATAGAATGGATTTCTTGGTTATGAGTGTTCACATGTGCTTAGAATTCAGGTGCACGGTGGTAGCGACAGCAGACACCAGAGAATCCAGGGACACTAGAGGTCTAGCAGCAGGCTGCTAAGTGACTGGAAAGGGTGGCTAGTAACACCAGCCTGTACTGGGTACAGGCTGCTATTTTATCCATGCAGCTTCCGTGGCTCATGCATTGCCTTAGGATCTATAGTCCTTTTTGCTGTAGGGCTTGTTGCGCAATATGTTATCAATCTCGTTTACCACATGTGATGTCATCTTTGGGAGAACCTGAGAAAGGAAGAGAAGAATGTGGTTAGCATTTGTGCTCGTGTGCTCAGTATTGAGCAAAGTCATCTCTTCATAAAGCTGGAATGTACGCTCCCCACTAGACTGTAAGCTTCTTGAGGTCTTGGATCTTACTCGTTGACTGAATAAGTGAAGGCATGAGAGAAGGATTGTAGAAATACAGGACAGTTTTATCCAGCAGATATACAAGGGAAGAAATATAATTTCTTAAAAAACAAAAGGTAAAATTAATGCATTTATTCCATTATATAAAAAACATTTCAAATATGAAATGGATATGGAAAATTAAAATACTGTCTTTTTTTTGTGTGTATTAACCCTCACAAATTTCTGTGAACATTTTACACTCACAGTGTATCTACATTGGGACTAGCCACCGTTCATGACCTCCATGGCCACACAGCTAGAAGCTGCTTTCATAGACAGCACTGGTCTAGAGATTGAGGAAACTCCCTCTAACTGGTGGTATTTGGAAGCCCCGGTACAGGATGTCCAGGGTTAACAGGAATCACAGGTAAGTGTGAGTGGTGGAGGTGTGGGTGTAGTAGGAGTGGAGAAAAGAGGAGTTGAGCTGGAGTGTAGCGAGCCTTGAATGCCACTTTATGGAGTTGGATCTTTATTCTGCAGGCAGTGGGGAACCTCTTAGGACTTTGTGTCAGAATGAGTCCCTCAAACACCCGGAGGTAGCTTGAAGGCCAAGTTGGAGGAGGCCAGGAGTTAGAAGCATTGCAATACAAGCTGGGGCCAGAAAGGGTCTTGGGAAGCATAGTGCGGGGGGAGAGAAGAGGGCCTGAGAGACATGGAGAATGGTGGGCTTTGAGACTGATTAGGGTATTGGTGCAGTCTGTTGATGCTGGAAACCAAGGAGCAGCCGTGTGGGGATAAGTTTGTAGTGGTGTATGTTGATCCAGGTAGAAATAACTTGAAGCAGCTAGAAGTGCAGCTTTGGAGCTTAGTAGTTGCAGGACGACTGGAGTTGAGGGCTTGCGAGCCACCAGCAAAACCCGCTTACTGGAGCCCTGTGAAAGGATAAGGCTCCTCTAGGGCCAGCCTTTATTGTAGGAGGGGGGCCAAGGACACACATTGCTCGCCAACACAGGCACAAAGAGTGACTTTCTTGCCGGGAAGGTCTGACCCTGTGTGGCGACTGTGGTGAAATGCAATTATGATGACCCGCTCTGAGGCTTCGGCCTCACCCTTCCTTTGCTGCAGTTCTTCTGGCCAAGGTGACCTTGTCTCCACTCAAGTGCTACCCTTAGAAGGCCTTGGATTTTGCTGAATAGTGGAGCTTCTCAGCCTGGGCAGCATTTGGTTGTGGTTAAAGTTTTGCTATCTGAAGCTAAAGGAGGAGTTTGGTTTTCTACTAGCTCTGTCTTCAAGGGTCTAAACGGGCAGTGTCTTATTTAAAGGAGATTGTAAAAATGAGACTGAAATTTGGAAACTGGATTGGATGGAAGTTTTGTATCTAAAAGTGGTCTAGCCTTCTCAAGAGAAAAATTCATTGTATCAAAATGCATTAAAGGTAGAAGAGATTTTTAAGACCATAAAAAATGTATAGTAAGAACCAAATGAAGAGGAGCCATACTTGCAGAATTTTATCTGGAATCACCCAGTTTTTAAAATGTTGGCAACTGTTTTACATTTTAAGCTACTTGAATAGGTCCACATCCTCCCCATCCCACTATTGGTTTTGCAACCTGGCTAGAAGACTTATGGAGTGAGGGGAGGTCTGGCCAGTGGTGCCTGAGCTGCTGGGGCCTCAAGGGAGGACTCCCTTACTTGAGTCACTATTGATCTGTACTGTGGGGACAGAGGAGGCTTTTCTAGGCAGGGTTGGCCACTTGAGAGGCAGAGGATGGATCGCTCTTTACATCTGCGGATCTGAGTGTCTGCTGGTAGCTGGGGATTAGGGTTCTGCGGAGCATGTGTGTGTGTGTGTGTGTGTGTGTGTGTTGGAGGACTAGGGGCAATAGGCTTCAATTTGAAGGGCCTGGCCGCTAAAGAGCATGGATTTCTCTGGGTAGGTGATGGGGAGCCTCAGACTTGGCCCTGGAGGTGGGGATCCGGAGGCAGCTCTGTTCACTCTTAGTAGACATGGGAAAGATGAAGACCTATACAGCTGGGCTACCTGCAGTGTGGTTTCGGTCCTGTCTCTCCCACCCATGGAGCAGCTGATCTGTGTCCAGCCCTCCAGCTTTTGCATGCCTCAGGAACGGGCTGTCCTTTGGAGCAGCTGCCTTCCCAGCCTGCTAGAAAACTCCTTGAAAGGGTGGGCACTCCACACTCGGTTCTGCAGCCAGTCCAACCAGTGCTAAGTATGTGGAGGTGTGGGTGAAAGGGAAGGGCTGGTAAAACCCCCAAGGTGGCAGCCTTGCTGCTTGGTGAGTGTCCATTTCCCTTTTCCTTTCCCTTTGATCGTGGTTGCCTCTTCCTTCACCAGCCAGAGCTTTGCTGGGGAGGAAATGCTTTAGGGAAGGTAAGCGAGCCACTGTTGCGTCTTTTATGCCTTCCCCTGGCAGCATGACCTCCCCTGGGATGGCGTGATCACCCCGAAGTAGCATTAATAGGAACCTGCCTTCCTCCCTCTTCCTGCCAAGCTGTGTTGTCTTCTCCAAAGCTGTGAGACTGATTTTCTCTCTCCACTTCCTTGTCCTGGCCTGCTGCCCTGCCTTTCATTTTTGCTTTCCACCTGGCAGAGAGAGCTATCTTTATTCATGGAAGCAACGTCCCTCCTATCTCTCAGAACCCTCTGAGGGATTATGACCTGGGAATTTCGTGTTCTAGGAGATTTGGTGCCTGCTCTCCACTTCCATGCATCCCCCGTTCCTTTCTTCTTGGCTTGCAACACATTGGCCACACTGGCTGGAGGCTGGCAATGTCTGGGAAAAGCCCAGTTCCCCCCGGACTCAAGGCCTTTGTACTGTTCCTCCCTGTACCCAGAACACACTCCTGGGCTTTTCACATGTGCAAGGGATATGAATAAATGGGAGGGCCTCGAAATAAACATCCCAGCGGGGCCTTTTGCAGAGACTTCAGTCCAAGTCCCCATTCTTCCATTAGTCTGTTACAGCAGCCTGTTTATTTACTTAGTAGATCTTTTCACAACCTGAAATAATTTTGTGTTTATTTTTACTTATCTCCTGAAATATAAGCCACTTGGAGTAGTTTTCTTTTGACCTTTAGTATCAACAGTTGCTGATATAGAGTAGGCTCTTAAAGATCTTTTGAAGGGAGATAGATTTCTGTTTTTATTTTGGTACCAGGGATCGAACTCGGGCCGACAGCGGAACCACGAGCCAGCCCCTGGCCCAGACGACAGATTTCTTACTTGACTTTCTCAGCCAGCTTGTGAGTAATCTGAGGGCAGGATCTTGTTCTTACTCACTGTACTCCCACTGCCTAGCTCTTGGTGCCAGACAGAATGAGTGCTCTGAAAATATTAGTGGAATTGGAATTACCAGATTGAATTGTAGCTCGTGTACAAACTCTCCCTCTCCTGTCTTCACTGTGTAAGGCAGCTGTGTGGGGCAGCTCATAGGAAGGAGCCTTCTCCGTGAAGAAGCAGGAACCCCACAGAATCCAGGAAGAATTGTGGGGATGGGCAGAGTTCTTGGAAGCGGGTGGCAGTGCTTCACCCTGCTCTGTATTCCTGGTGGGAAGGGAGTCTACACCATTTATCCCCCAGCGTATTCTGGGCTCTTATTTAAAAGGGCTTCTTTACACTGATAGTTAAGTTTGTCCCTACTTCGATTTAATCTCTTTCTCCTTTTAGGAGAGCTAACAACACTGCTTGTTTCAGGAACAGGTGGATGGGGGAGAATCTGTGAGACAGTTCTGTTTCTCTGCGAGTAAGAAGGAAACATACTCATCCTTGTCTGTTGTGCCAAGTAGCAACTGGCTATTCCAAGGCCTTTGGTGGGGCTGAGAGGGGCAGGCTCAGGACTGAGACGTGGCCCTTGGGGAAGGAGACTGAGCACAGCAGACACCAGCCTCCACGACTGCTTATCTAGAACACCCAGGAACATGCTGTGGCTCCTGCTTGCCCCTCCTCTGCCGCTGGAGGTTCCATCAAAAGCCTGGACCATAAGCCATCCCTGGGGATAGGATGGGAGTGTGGGGTGGGCCTCCTGAATTTGCTTCTAGGGAGACAGGATCCTGAAAGTCCAAAGAGAATTTTGGAGCCTACTCCTCTTAAAATAAGGCAGATACTGATCCAAAGTTATTTCTTGAGTGTGGGGATCATGAGTATTGGTTGTAAGTATTGTAAACTTTAGTAACTCCATATGTGTTAAGTTTCTCCAGTTTAGCAGGTGGTGTGTTTCCTTTGTGGAATTCCTGAAAGTTACAGTTTCTTGTCTCTGACCTTTAGATGTGTGGTTGTCCGGGTTACTACTACCCACGGTGGGTTGTTTTGGTTGAACCTGTTTGCTCTTTTCCTGTGTGACCTTTCAGTTACTTTGGTAACCCCATCCCATAATAGTTTGTGGTTTTTCTGCTTTAAAAGGCCGACGCTTGCCGGCAATAAACGCCGCCTTGATCAGACTCTTGTCTTGGCGTCCTTCCTTTCTCTCTGCCCCATCTCCACCCCGCTGCTCTTTCAGGTTTGAGGCACTGCTGGACAGTGCTCTGCATCGCCGGCTCGCGACACTTGAGTGTTGACTAAGGGACATATAGTAAGCTAGGAACCAGAATGTCGGTGGAGGAGCAAGGACAGGTCTCTGGCCTCAGAAGCCTTACAGTCTACCAGAGGAGACAGGCAGTTGGACATTGACTGTCCTAAGCGTTAGGATGAGAAGGTGCAAGTAACAGGACATGGGACATGAGGGACTTGGCCCACAGAAGGTCAGCAAGGTCTGTGGAAGGAATCAGTGACGAGTGCATATTTCTATTCCTGTTTGATTTTGGTAAGAAGGTTTTTGTGGTCAGCCGTGGGAAATCAGTTGCTAGGAGCAATATTGGAATGCACTGTCTTACAGAAATGAACCACTCTGAGAAATTAACTGTGGGAACGCTGCCTGTTAATAATACAGAGGACAACTCTGGATCTGTAAATTAAAAGCTTGCTGTTGCTTCTTAGGCCTTTGTTCCCTCACTCCCAGGACAGAGGTGGAGACACGTTAAAGGGCACCATGCCATTCCCTGGTGTCATGGAAAAGAGCTGGCAGGACAGAGCTGCAGTACTTGCCTGAATGGCACCAAGGTTTTCAATGAGTTGCTCAGGAGTGGACGATCCCAGGAGCACAGAACTCACGCCTTCATTTCTCAGGCACCAGGCTGGGAAGAGAGAACATAAGGTCGGCAGGTCATAGTGCCTGTGGGTGGTTATTGGTTAGTCTGTAAACACCAGGTATAGCTATGTTTTTTGCAGCCAAACTTGATTAACTTCTTTGTGGAAAGTGCCCTCTGGAATTAAAAAGCTGAGCAGTACCCCCTGGTGTGCAGGAGGTGGATCGAATCTGCATTGGAATTGTAGGTTTCTGTGTGGGGCTTTGCCTTAGCTACTGGACGTTCAGTCTAGCTACTCACCCAGGGAACACATCCTTATTTTGCTTTCCCATCTCATTCCTGGTCTTGCTTTTCCTCATCTGTTGTTTCAAAGTCCTATAGACTTGATTGTCTGATTCCTGTATTTACATCCACCACCTCCTGTGTGGATTGTGTAAATTACTCCCTCACTGATCCTTAAATTAATCCCTCATACCCCCATCTCCTGCTGTGGGAAACTGCGTGTGTGTGTGTGTGTGTGTGTGTGTGTGTGTGTGTGTGTGTGTTTATTTTTCCCCTCTACCTCCTCCCCCTTCCTCCTTTTTTTTTTTTAAAGTAAAAAACTATTGGTACAATTTATGCACCCCCCGAAAAAAAAGTAAAATTAGCTTTTTGGTAAATTTACCAACCATTACCATTTGCATCATGTAGTCATTACCATTTTATTTATTTATTTATTATTTTTTTGGTATCGGGGATCAAACTCGGGACCTTGCGCTTGAGAGGCAGGCAACAGAACCACTGAGCTAAATCCCCAGCCCTAAAATTTTGCCTATTCTGGATATTTCTTTTTTTGTATTGGGAATCAAACTCGGGTCCTTGTGCTCGTGAGATGGATAGGGGAATGACTGAGCTAAATCCCCGGCCCTACCATTTTATTTGTTTTTAAACTGAGATTGAACCCAGGGCCCTTTGCACTGAGCTAAATCCTCAGCTTTTTGTGTGTGTGTTTTTTTTTTTTTTGGTACCGGGGATTGAATTCGGGTCCTTGCGCTTGCAAGGCAGGCCACTGAACCGCTGAGCTAAATCCCCAGCCCCAGCTTTTTATTTTGAGACACGATCCTGCTAAGTCACTAAGTTGTCCAAGCTAAGCTGGATACTTGTAATCCTTCTGCCTCAGCCTCCCAGAGAGCTAGAATTCCCAGTGTGTGCTATCATGCCTGGCTGCAACTATCACCATTTTTAATCCAGTTTTAGAACATTTTTACCACTCTAGTAAGACCTCTCCTGTACATGAGTAGTTAAACCTTATTCCTACGCAGGCCCTAGGAAACTGCTAATTTACTTTCTGTCTTAAGATTTGTCTTTTCTGGATATTTCCTTGAAATCAAGCACCATGTGGTCTTTTGTGTTTGGCTTCTTTCACTAGTGTGCATAGTTTCTTCATGTGGCAGCGTGTGTCAGGTACTACTTTTTCATTGCTGAGTAGCAGTCTACTGTTTGGGGTGCACAGGGTCTACCTTTTGGTGGTTCAGCCATCTTCTCCAGCCCCGCCACCCACCACTGCCCTCATTCAGGTGCTCTCTCCTGCATAACTGATTTTTCTACCTCTTAAGTGCCCTTGTCCTCCCCCATATAGCTTCCTCACATCCATTGCAGTTTCTCTAAAAATAAATCTGATCGTGTCACATTCCTGGCTAAAAGTTCTTCAACTTGTGCATGACAAAAATCATCGCCCCATAAAATGGAGCTCTTATCTTTTGCCTTCACACACGTTACTGTCTTATTTGCTTCTCCAGTATCATGGCTCCCTGCCTTGATTTTTGTGCTTTGGGAGTACCTCCTCTTCATCTGCAAACATCTGGCTATTTTTTTCTTCCTCTTCCTCTTCTTGGGGCACTTTGCTTAAACTATCTCCTTTGCCTGGAAGGTGCTTTTTGCCTCTTCCCTTCCTTTATCTCTCTAATATCTATTCATGCTTTGAGATTCCCAAATACATCGCCTTCTTCAGAATCGCAGGCTGGGTTGGGTACCCCTACTCTTAATTCTGTAAACCACCACCCCATTCTCAATACTGTAGTACTGCCTGGGGCTCTGGCAAAGACCTGAATCAGGGGCCTGACTATTGGACTCATTCACTCCTCTCATCAAGGGTATGAGAGTAGTTAATCCCTTTCAGGTTCCTTGTGGGGCTGTATTTGCCAGGCTGTGCCATAAATACGGAAAAGTGAGTTTTTTCACAGTTTGGCCATATTGAGATGGCAGCTAGTCCACCCCCTTGGTCACACAGAAGCACTCCAGTTTCTAGACTAGGTAGAACGAAAGCCGGGAAATACGTATGTGTAGATTCTGTATGGCTTTGGCCCACGCAGGGGCACAGGAAATGTTGAAATGTTGAAGCCTCCTTGGCACTGGGTGGGGTGGGGTAGGGTGGGGTGGTGGTTCCTGCTTTCAGCATGAGGAAGCTGGAGGAATAGCATATCTTTTTTTTTTTTTTTTGGACCAGGGATCAAATTTGGGCCCTTGTGCTTGCGAGGCAGGTAGCGAAAACACTGAGCCCCGAAATAGCTTTTCTTAAAAAAAAGAAAATCCAGTTTTTACAGAGCCATTTTTACCTCTAGGTCACATTATCTGTTTCTTTTCTTGATGTGCCCCTTAGGCGGTGATGAGGTGTGGCTAATTTGCAGTTGGATCTCAGAAAACAGCCTAATACCTGGCACATGGCAGGTACTTATTAAATGTTTGTTGGATTAACATTGGCATAGATGATTGATGTGTGCCCCTGGCATGCCTTCTGTTCCTGTTTGCTGCAGGCCTGCTGTCAAATGATGACCTTAAGCTGTTACCATGCTTGGGTCTTTTACAGCAATCCCTATTTACACGTGTAAATAGTGCTCTATAAAAGACACCAATGCAAGAGATCAGGGCTTTTCTTTTTGTTTTCCAACTGGGTCTTACTATGTAGTCCACGTCGGCCTTGAACTCACTATGTAGTCCAGGCTGGCCTTGAACTTGCTGTGATTCTCCTGCTTCAGCCTCCTGAATGCTGGAATGACAGGTGTGCACCCCCATGTCTGGTGAGATCCAGGGCATTTATTCATCTATTCATTTATTTATTTGGTACCAGGGACTGAACCCAGGACCTTGAGCTCATGAGGCAGGTGCAGTGCCACTGAGCTAAGTCCACAGCCCCAGGGCTTTTTTATTCTCTTTCTTTTTCCTTTTCTTTTCTCCCCTCTGTGTTTTTTGGGGCCTGTTTCTTGCTTTGCACTTAGAACTCTTCTTGGGCTTAGTGGGAGTTCTAAGTATAATGTAGAGCTCTAGGCAAGTCACTGCCCACAAATGAATAACTTTGAAGTCAGTAGCAGCTGATCCTAGTGGGCTACAGGGCACAGGAGAACCTACTGGCTGATGCTAGAGGATTAGCATCACTCACTGAGGGTCACCGGCTAGCACACCAGGAGTGTCAGTTCACTACTGGTGGTGTGACACTGGCTCCTGTGCTGGTGTGTTACTAGGGGAGCCAGCACAGTCAGGCTGACGTGGTTTGTTTCCTACTCAAAGCTCTCCTTTCTCCCACACCCTCCTTACAGATCAAAGATGATATAGTGGAAATAATTTCCCTTTTGGTTTTGAGAGTTCTACGGTTAAAAACAAAACTGCTTGTTTGTAAAGAAGAAAAATGGCAGGCAAGGAAGACATCTGGGGCATAGAGGGAAGAAAGGGAGAAAAATAAGAACATATGTTAACTCAGACTTTCTGTGGAGGTTGTTTCAGGTACCTCTACCGTCTAAATCCAAATTCTATAAAGATTTCCCTTCTAGAACGACAGCTGTTCATAGATTTTGTTCTTTATTTTCGTGGGAGATTGGCTCAGGGCTTGCCAAGGATACCAGAATCCAAGGACACTCTTAGCGTGGCATTTGCATGCACATCCTCCTGTATTCTTTAAATCATCTTTAGATTACTTCAAATACCTAACACTATATAAACAGTTGATTAAATCCATGGATATGGAGGGTCAACTGTACTCATTGATATTTATGACCATGAGGAGTTTGTGTTTCTCTTTGTGCCTTTTATTCTGACCACTCAAAAGGCTAGGAGTAACTTTCCAGGAAGTCTGATCTTTATAAAAACACCATCATTGCCACTTACTGAATACCTGCTCTGCTCTGCATGTATATATTTCTCTTTACTCAACAGGTTTGTAAGATATGTATTAAATACCCGTTTTCCACACAAAATTTACATGAAGTAAACTTGCTTTGGTCAAATAGCTTTTTTTTTTTTTTTTTTTTGCTATTAAAGCTATAGGGATGCTAACTAATTGCACTAAGTATATTCTTTGCTTTTTTAAAGAAAAAAAGCAAGTCATAAGTATATCTTGATATATTTTTCCCTCTAAAACCTCTTATTTCCATTTGTTTATACTGTTAACTGCAACTAATATTTTTCTGACTTTGAGCCTCAGCAGGATCAAGCTACCAACAGATATTTTGTTAAATTATTTTATTTGCATAGACATTATGTGAACTTTTTATCTCATTGTGTTATTGTATCTAATTTACCCCAATTCCTAGTATTTCTTAATCGGTATGATTTTTTTTCTCCTGGAATTGACGCCCATTTTATTTATTTTTATTTTTTGTTTTATGAGACAGGGTCTCATTATGTAATTCAGGCTGGCCTTGAGCTCATTAGGTAGCCCAGGCTGGTCATGAGCTCATGGTGATCCTCCTGCCTCTGCCTCCTGCGTGCTGAGATTACATTCATCTGCTACTGTGCCTGGCTTATTCCTTTCTAAGTTGCCATGTCAGTTCTAGCAAATCCTCCAGTGACATCTGTAAGACAGGTGTCCTGACAGTCTACACCTAATAGGATTGTTTTCATGACTAAGGAGACAAGACAGCATAAAGTGGTTAGCACACAGCCTGGCAAATATGCCCCAGTCAGTGAACTGAAAGTCTAGATGCTTTTCTTTCCCAACCATACACGACTAATATCGAACCTGAACTAAGCTGTGTTGTAGGTACAAAATACATACTGGGTTTTAAAGAGCGTGACAAAGAATATAACATATCTCAGTAATTTGTTTTATATTTATTACATTTTGAAATATTTGGGCATATAATGTTAAATAAAATCCTTTATTAAAATTAATTTCACCTGTTTCTTTTTTACTTGTTTAATACAGCCACTAGTAAATTTGAAATTAAATATGTGGTTTATATTCTCTGTGGTTTATATTATATTCTACTGGACTGTGCCAGTATATGTGGTTTTTAGTTAGCAGTGACCATAAGTTTTCATGGATGCCACAGCATGAGGAGATCAATTTTCATGGCCCTAAGTTGTTTCCAAGCAAAGCTTCTCCAGGATCAACTTTCCATGTGAAGTTCCCTTGGCTTTCTGTCATCTCAGCAAAGTTACACCCCATCTCTGCCACCCCTAGAATTTTCTTACCAACAGCCAGCTGAGGTAGTGTGCATCCCAGACGCTCAGCAATTGGAGAAAGGTCTTTTAGCTTGTTTTGCTGTTTTCTCCCTTCTTCACTTACAATTCTTTCTTTCAACCACTGGTAGCACTGCAGGTAAGAATAAAAATAACATTTAAATGTTAAATGTTAATGGATATGATATCCAAAATTGTCAATTCAATAAAATATAAGAACCTCAGGATGAATTTCTGAGTCTTCTTGATTCTCACTCTTAACATTTTGTAGTGAGAAGGATGCTTATATCTTCATGCAAAGAAATGTTCACACAGTCTCGCTCGTTTGTTTGTTCTCAGCAGCTTGCTTTTGGTTAATATTCACCATTGAAATTAACCGGTATTCACAAAGTTCTGAAAACCCTGACGCATATAAACAGTTATACCCTAATCTGCCAAGTGGAGAAATTAGAGTAATATTTGTTAGAGGAATAGCTTAGTTAGAGAGAGAGAGAGAGAGAGAGAGGGTGGATTTTCATTTTACCAAGGTCTATTATGTTTCCTTTTTGCTAGGAAATCTGGGTGCCAAGCTTTCTGCTCAAAGTAAACCATTATCTTACATTCTTGTTATAAGTATCTTTTTCTGTCTTGCCTTTAGTTCACACCTAATCTCACATTCTTATAATGAAGATTTATTGTAGGCTTTCTCAGCTTCTTTCTCGAAGCAGACATAATATGACTGTTAAGTATCAAGTACATTTAGAAAAATTAAACCGAACAAGGAATTTCCCAAATATGTACTACCTATTGTGTAACTACTGAAACTTAAGAAATGCAGCAAAGGAAACTATTCTTTAAACTTACGGGAAGAGACTGACCCTGATCTGTAGACTATAAAGTGAGTCTAATTTCCTAAATACAAAGAAAAACTGTTCAGTACATCTCAAGGCCCTACTTTTCAGAAAGCTTTACGCTTATGATGAAGGGGGAAATAATAGTCTCTTCTGTACAAAACCAAGCCTCAACACCCAAAGGGAAAGAATATTTGTAAGAACGTTAGTCTGCTTTAGGGAAAACAGTTTAAAAAAAACCTCTTAACACTATGTGGTAACGTGGACTTTCTCTGTAGCTTGGGTGGTGACATAATTGCTACCACAGATCTGTACCTTCCCAAAGGCTGCAGGCAGCTCTGCCATCCGCAGTGGACCATCGGCGCTCCACCCACGATTTCAATTGCCTGCTGGCTTTTGTTTTTAAATATTTTTTCATCATTCAAAGAGAATTTCCAAAGAAAAGGGTAATCATGTTCTGTTTTATTGTGATTTTTGGAATTATTTTGCGGATTTGAAAAAGAGAAGGGCAAGCTGCCCCAGTTCTGTTTGCCTCCTAGGTCTCAAAGGCTTGGGATTTGGCTTGGGGAAATAGCCAAGAGTTTTACCAGCCTGAGATCTGTGAAGCTTTGACTTACTCCAGAGTAATAGATTTGGCACATCTCTCTGGAGATGACAGGTAGTACCAGTGTTGAAGGGGTGGACAGTTATGATTAGGACCTAGGAAGCCTTTCTGGGCCATAGCACTGCCTATGTCAGAGATCCCTGAATTTGCTTTTGCTCTTCTCCACGGGAAAAACATCAATCCTCACGTAAGTTTCATAACATCTTTCAGGGGGCCAATATTTCTGAATATTATTCAAACCGAAAAAAAATTAAGCTAATGAAAAAATGCTCTTGAATAATTTCTTTTTAATTACAACTCGGACAGTTTCTGAGGTTTCAATATATACTACACTGAATGGTATATATCTTAAGAATGGCTGATTTAGCTGGGCATGGTGGTGCACACCTGAATCCTAGGACTCGGGAGGCTCAGCCAGGAGGATTGCTGCAAGTTCAAGGCCAGCCTGAACTACTTACCAGGACCCTGTTCAAAAAAACAAAAACAGCACAAACAAAAAGAATAGCTGGTTTATTAATCTCATTAAACTCTGAACTCCATTTTTGAAGTCATATATGCAATGCATTCTTTAGAGTTGGGGTCTGAGATTGTGTGTGTGTACTTGTATATATGTTTATGTATATGTCACAAATACACATACCATATTGAGGGCCAGACATCCAAAAGTAACAAACATCAAACATTCATTCATATTTGTTGAATCCTTCTCTCCCCACCCTCAATAAATCTCATTGTTGCTTTAATCAGGGTAATATATAAAGAGTTAGGGCTTTAAAAAAGATGCCTAGTGTTATACTGCTTTCCTGATAACCAAAGGGAACAAAAATGTTTTGGAAATAAGCAGCTTAAAACTGGGAAAATGTTAGCAGATGGAGGAGATGGTGCTTAATTAAAGTGTTATTCAAATATGGAAGCAATCAACATCTTCAGCTCTGACCCTGTAGCTGGTGCAGAGGAGGGGCTTAGGGAGGAGACAGGGTAAAGTAGGGGACACCAGGGTAAAGAGAAATCTCTTCAGTTTTTCAAACAGAACATGCACTCTCCCCTCCTCAGTGTGACTTTCCTAGCTGACCTACTGGGGTCCTAATGGGGCCCACAGTGCTGGTGGATTCCATGTTGTTTCATAGCTCACCTTTAACATGTCTATCTCTAATAAATCCCTCAGCTAGTCCCTGCCGGTTGAGACTGTCCCAGACCAGCAGAGTGTGGTGCTAAATAGATGATCAGTAGGTATTTGTAAGAGAATCAATTAAATAAGCTTTTCCCCCCCGCATATTAGTGAGCTATTACTTTTGTATGTTAGTCACAAAATTACCTACATTTTCTTAAAGCTATTTCTTTGCCCTCTCCCAAATATGGTAACCATTATCTAGTTGTCCCATCTTATAGGTAACAATATCAAGATGGTACTAGTTTGTGAGACTTTTTCCAAAGTCTCTAATACTTGCTAGTTAATCCTTGTTTGGAATTCAGGCAGAAAGTACAAGATGTGCTCAAAATATACAGTAAAAGTAAAATTATTACCTTAGACACATTGCTATGACTCTCCCTCAAAATACTCTTCCTTGCTTCAAACATACTTATCCTATCATTCTTGCCACCTTCTGAAGCAATTTGGAAATCCTCATTTATGAGTGTCTATGAGTTGTGATTAAAAAAAGTAACAGTAAATGTGGCTGCTCTTGTCTAGTAAGACACTAATGCAGTAAACCTGGTGAGAAATGATGACGTTCTAAATAAAGGCATAGCAAAGCAGAGAGAAGTCAAAGAGGCTGAGAAAGGTAGCATAAGCTTTCTGGTTACACCCACAGTGACCTATCTCTTCACGCCAGACCTACCTCCTAATAGGAAGTCTGCTATAGCACCCTCATAATCCAGTCACCTCCCAAAGGCCCTGCCTATGACAACATGAAGTTTTAGGCAGACACCTAGATGTAAACCATAACCTTCTGCCCCGGACCCCCAGGGACTAATGCATATCTCTATGTAAAGGGGTTATAAGACATCTCTAAGAGTGATGAAAGTTCTAATTGTTTGAACATTGCTGAAATGGCCAAGTCTCCTCTGAGACTTAAGGCAAACTCTTAGGTGTAAGCCTCTAAAAGTCAAAAAGAAGTTAAACTGCCAATATACAGTGGCACAGGTTAGACATTCCCATTCCAAAACACAGGAAGAAGGTGATAGAAACCGACAGGATCAAAGCAAGACCAAAACCCAACAAGGCAAACACTACATCATGTAGTTCTGTGTCCAGCACCTGGGGTAAGTTTTGAGAAATTTGAACTTCAAAAGTCTTGGGCAGTCCAACTCAAGTCGTTGCTGGTGGTTGCTGCCCTCGTGGCTTTTCTCTTGGGCTGGCTTTGCTAAGTTCCTCTGACTTTCCTCAGATGACTTCTTTAAATTCCTGTGATTTCCACTGTACTTCTGGCTTCATTCCCACAGCTTCACCTACTGCCCTCTGATAGACACACTGCCTAGCCTCCAAGACTGTCTTCTAGAGTCTGGGTGGAAGCCTCCATAATCCCACAACTCTTGCATTCTGTATACCTGTAAAACCAACAGCATGTGGATGATGCCAAGTTCTGCCTCTGGCTCCAGCAGTAGCCAGGCCCTTTTGCATCACGGCTGCAGGGGCCTCTGAGTACTTGGATGACTGAGCACTGTGAATGGAATCCCAGGAAGCCAGTTTTCTAGGTGGCCTCCAGCAGGGTGCCTTAGGGCTCTCTTCTCAAAGCGGTCTTTCAGTTTTTCACCCTGGAGTCTGCAAAGGACTATTCACACACCCTCAAGGCAATCTTTCTAGTGTCCAGATATAAAGTATTTGGCTTCTGGTTTTTTTTTTTTTTTTTTGGTACTGGGGATCCAACTCAGGTCCTTGTGCTTGTGAGACAGGCTCCAGAACCACTGAGCTAAATCCCCAGCCCATATTTGGCTTCTATTTGATGCTAACCTTTTTCATCAACCAAACTCTCCTTTGCTCTAACTTTGCAGGTCCAACATAAGAGCTTACTTACTTTATTAGATTCCCTTTCTAAAACTCAAACATTTTAAAGCAGCTCAGCTGTGCAGTTTGCTCTTGATTCTTTATGTAGAGCTAGCTAAAACCTCTCAACAGTACCCATGCCACTGCCTCAATATTTGGCTGCCTTGAAATTTCTTCTACCAGATTAATTAGTCTCTTTCCTTCTCAGTCTCTTGCAAAGTCTCAGGACATGAGCAAAATGTAGACATTTTGTATGTACCTTCTTTTTCTTTCTCCTTTTGCTAATTCATTTATGAAAGTGTTTTCAGCTGTTAGGAAGCTTTTATCTAAACAGTAATGGAGGGTAGATAATAATACACTCCAAATATAGCATAGTTACTTCTTGTAAAAAGAAAAAACCTGGTTTTGCAGGAAAACAAAGATGTCTTTGGGGAAGATAATTAACCAAGAGCCAGGAAATATCTAACATCAACATTAATTTTTAGGAATTTATAATCTTGAATTGTTATTTAATGTCTTTATGCTCTAGTGTCTGGAAAAGGGTGATAACATATGGGGAGTATTTTGAATTTTTCAGAAGGCCTGTGAAAGATTGTGCAGATGGGCCTCAACAATTGTTTGATCTAGATTTTTTTTTTTTTTTTTACTTTATGATGGTGTGAAAGTATTCTTATATAGCTTCTATTTTTCACTCTCGGTACAGTATTGTATAAGTTACATGAAATATCCAATACTTTAGTATAAAATAATCTTTGATGATTTTTATCTGATTGTAGGCTAATGTTTTTTTTGTTTGTTTGTTTTGTTTTTGGTACTGGGGATTGAGCTTGGGACCTTGTACTTGTGAGGCAGGTGGTGGAACCACTGAGCTAAAGCCCCAGACCTGTAGGCTAATGTTTAAGGTAGGCTATGTTAAACTATGGTGTTTTTGTAGGTTTGGTATATTAAGTGAATTTTTGGACTTAGGATATTTTCAAATTACAATTGGTTTAATCAGATATGAACCCCACTGTAAGACAAAGAACACCTGTATAGCAATTTAGCTCAGCTACAACTGACTAAAAGCCAATCTATATCCATTTCTCTTTGTGAAGGTAAAGGAAGATGAATGAAAACACTTAGACTTGTACTTGGCACATGGTAGGTGCTCAAGCTGGCTCGGAGCTTACTATGTATCCTATGTGGGCCTTGGACTTGCAGCAGTTTTCCTGCCTCAGCTTTTTGAGTCCGGATAACTGGCATGCATTACCACAGCAGGCTTAAATTCATGATTCTTAATGCTTTCCTTCTGTCTTTTCTTTCTTTACTGCCTTATATTTTTACTTTATGTATTCTTTCCTAGTATGCTTTTGATTTTTCTCAAGTGGACTTGTTTAGATTGGTTCTTCGATCTTCAGGAACAAGATCTCCCATAATATTTCATATGACTGTGTTTTGTGATAATATAAAACCACAAACAGGGCCATGTCAACATGCTTTAGGACACATTTATATTAGATTATTTTAGAGAACAAACAAGCTAAATGCTGAACTGTTACAGGTAGGGAGAGAAGTGGAATATCTGGAACTTTGAGAAGGCTCTGATTAGGAAGCCTGTGGCGCTCACCTTTCCATCAATTAAAGGATTGGTAGTTCAGGCTCAGTGTGAGCTATTGCTCCACCGACTCAGGGCTAACGGAGGCTTGAAGCTGGGTCATGCATACGTGTACTCTTAGGAGGACTTTGCTTGACTGAGCTTTTAAAATTCCTGTATTATTTCTTCCTTGACAGTATAAAACAGGTTGTGATTCTAATTTATTACACATTCTCTCACATTAAAATAATGTTTTTATAAAGAAAGATGTTCGGAATGCTCACCAGTAAATAATCATCATCATGCCTTGAATGGAGGTAATTTTGTTTTTATGCTCTTGAATGCCGTTATTCTTCAGAGCAGAATTTAAACTGTAAATCGCGATGCCCAGAATGGGACTCTACAAATGCCAGCATGGAGCCCCAATGATTAAAACTTTGCATCTGTCTCCTGAGGTTGTCCCTCTATCCCTGCCGCCAAGACACCGCCAAGACACAACAAAAGAGTCTTACATCTTAAACCTCAGACCATGCTTTGCTACAACTGTTTGACTCATATGGAGTAAGCCTCTATAGCTTAAATTTTGTTTTGTCAAGAAAAGGAGAATTACAACCTCTTCCATAGACAAGGGACAATTTTTCCAGTTTCAAATAAGGAGTAAAATAAATGTTTTCCTCAACATAACAATAAGTAACAATGTAGGGATCTGAGCCCTGCAAGTCCAACTGGGTCATTGGACACTTTCTCCTGGCCCCCAGAGGAAGAGACTTCTGTGCAGATTATGACATTTCTGGCCAGGATCAGAGACCCCAGAGGGTTGGGAGAAGACTGCCAGAGGTCAGCAGCCTGGTGAAGGCCACAGTGTGCCTGAGTGGTGAGCCCTAGGCTGCCGCAGTCATCTAATGAATCTTCTGCCCAGCCCAGACTGCTCTAGAAGTTGAACATACCTTCAGCGAAGCCCTGGAGCTTTCAGGTACCCCATTTCCGTATTTTCCTGAGATGATTCCACAGGCAAGTGGGGACCATGTCATTGCGCCGACCCCTACAGAGGGGAAAACCATAGAAAATCGCTTGTACAACTGGGATCAAAAGACTGGGTGTTAAAACACAGCTTGGTCGGTTATAGAGAAAAGCTGCCCAGATAAATGAGTTAATACCAGCATGTGTCTTTCCATGACATTTTTGCTTTTGCAAGTCGTATTTCTTTCTTTTATAAACCACTTAAACGAATTGTCAGTTCTTGGAATGAGTCATAAAAGCAAGCCCTGAAGGTGTGGCTCATCTATGATGTTTTGATGTTTGAGATTCATGGACAGAGATAAACACTTTCACTTGCAGAGCAATTCAGTGCTTCTCCTGTCCTTTAAGTGCTTAATGTGGTGGCTGGTGCATAGCACAAGTACAGTGCCCAGTAAACTCTCAGTAAGTGATAGTGATCACAGTTCTTCTTGTTGAATTTTTATTGATTTTCTTATCCAACATTTTTCTGCCAATTCTGAGAAAGAAAGCTATCTCTGGTATTAACTTTACTATATTTTATAGAGAAATATAAAAGATACCCTTTGGTGTATAAGCCTGAAAATATGGCCTATTCATATTTTTCCTAGGTCCAAATTTCTCGTGTTAATATTTTGTATATATATTTCCCCCTTCTGTCTGACAGCATTATTTCTACACAGACATATAGTGTCTGGCTTGTTAACTGTTGTTGAATTCCCTATATCAATCTTAGTGCCAAGCATAGTAAGAGATATAGATGTGTATATACATGATGTTTTGGAAAGGCACTCAGCCCATTCAAAGTTGGATGCGTGGGTGAATTTATCCACTGATTTTTCTCTTCACGATGTATACATTTTTTGAACAACTACCGAGTACAGCTTACGTGCCAGTTACAGTTCACAACTCTGGATTTCATCAGTGATACCCTGTGGACTAAATAGAGGCACATTTGATTTTGCTAGTCTCTGGGATGCATACTTATCATAAACGTTGTATTAAAACAGGGACATTTAGGAAAGCATTTTACTAAAACTTATTTTCTATCTCACTAATTTTCCTATTGTTAAAAGTGGTAGATGTACTTTTGAAGATTACCTATTTTATGGTAGAGCTCAGGCAGCTGGACCTCCACTTTCTCTCTCTGGAAAAGATGGTACTCAGCTTGTTCACAGACTGGAGGGATCATATTGAACTGTCTTGCTACAGAATAGGCTTCCTAGGGAGAAACGAGATTGCAACTGAATTTAGACTGATTAGCAAGAAGGCTTCACTGTGATTCATTTGCATGTGAAATGTTCATTTCAGTGAAGTCGATATAAACCAAGGAACATACAGGATGCCAAGTAACAAGCAGTTATGACTATTGATTTCGCCAAGAGCAATACTGAATGTACAAAATTCTTACTATTCCTTGGAAGGATTTGGACTTAGTAAAGTCTAGAGCAAATTAATCAAAGTATCAGTTATGGACTATTATAACAAAAATACAATTTGATTATTTTTAGGTTTCTAAGGAAATAAAATTTAAACTAACATAAAAGTGATCTGTAATTAATGTGTTATAAACAGTGCAGTTATTAATATAGTTTTTTATTAATATGGTTTTTAAACAAGAATACTTTATTCATATATCTCATTAGCTATGAAGTTCACTTTATCCTCTTGCCACCAAAGAACATGGTTCTTTTAAGAGGCCTGAGCTCTTCAAGTTGTATTCTGAAGTGATGAGCTCCAGCCCCAATATTCATATCTGTAAAGATGGAATTGATCTTAGAATTCTAATGCCATAGGGCTTTTGAGAAAAGTTTGCAAAAGATCTTATAGTTTACACATGGCATCTGGATAGCCACTTAAAAATAGAAATGAACTCACCATGATCTCCATAGCGCCCCACCTCGAGGTGCCCCAGTACATCGCCATGCCTTGGTTTATCACGTGTGTCATGGCTCGAACAATTTCTGTGGAAGGCCAAACAGGATTCCAGGAGTTTCTGTGCTGTTCCAAGTTGGATGGTTTTTTCCTCATCCCCAATGTTTAAAGCTTCATGCAGTTATTTGTTTGATTAATATAATTGCTCTGATATTAGTGATAACATAATAGTCTAACGTCTAATATTCATGATTTGGAAGCTTATGTTCCACTTCCAGTTTTCAGCAACGATGTTAACTGATATTAAAAATATAATGATCACTTTGTATTGCTGATGCTTCTTGGTCTGATTAAAGAACACATAATTACTCTCTCAGAATCCAAGTACTTGCTCACCAAAGTGAGAACTGAGGGGAAAACATTTGTTTTGACTTTGTAGAATGTAAGGTCACTGAGCTCGGAAGGCTTGCATTTCTTTGTAGGTTGCATTTGCTGAGCTGGGCCTCACACTGAGTAGCTGTTTAATAGAGTTGACTCAGTAACAATGTGTTTAGCAGAAAGATAAACATATTAATGCTGAACAAACAGCTGCAGCCACAGGGGCTCAAAGCCTACGCTGACACACCCTGTCCTCGGCCACTTTGACCCAAAGCTTGTTCTAAGACACCCATGGAATCGCTTTCGCGGGCCTGCTCGAGGGCCCACCCAGTTTGCTCTTCAGGCTCTTTCAGGTTGACATCACATTTCCTAAACAGGAACATGAATCCTCTCCCCAGAGGGGTGCAGCTGAGCTAATTCTCTTGGCACAGCCAGATGTGATGCCGAACTAGAGGAGCAGGAAGAACCTTAAGTTCAATTTAGCAAAAATTTACAGATAGGATTGGATTTTTTTCTGCAAAGCAGGTCAGCTGTTTGGATGAACAGCATGCCGAGTCTTTGACATTTTCAAGGGGTCGTGTGACTTTGGGGCTTCTCTACGTCCTAGTAATATCAGTAGGTTAAATTACCTTTAGAAAAATCCAATCCTTGCCTCAAAATAGAGTTGAGGTTGATGAATTTTTCTTTTTATTTCTCATGGGGACAGGAGACAGGGTTTGACAGGGTTTGGAGTGAAAAGGACAGGGTGAGGGTCTTTGGTTCTTTGTTGTTTGGCATATGTAAGTTGTTTGCAGTTGTCTTTGGGTTCTCCAAAAGATGGGAATGCTTTCATTCACTATTAGTTGCCCAACAGAGGTAGAATTTAGCTTATAAATGGAATAATTTTCTGTCTTGGATAAGGATCACCAAATCTTAAATCACAGCAACTAAGCTATGAAGTTCATTTTCCCTCTACTAAATAAATGTGATGAAAACAAAGTAAGAAGAAGCCTCCTTTTCTTCTCTTTGAGAGTACAAATGGAGTGAGTGCCGGCTAGGAACTTTTCTGGAAGTTGAAAGCCATAGTTTTTGAATCTCTGGCCCAGAGCAGACATCTCCACCATCGCGCCAGGTCCCTCGTGCTGCACACACAGCTCCCTTCTGAGCCAGGAGGTCATTCGAACAATATTTGCCAGTGTCTGTTGTTTTTCGCACTAGAGATGCTGGGGTGGGCCAAACAGGGTGGTAAAACACTGAAGAGGTTCACAGAAAATAAACTGATCCTAACCCTATTCTGCGTCTCAGTCTCTAGAGTCAAGTAAGACGAGTACAGTCACGTGGCTTAGCTGAAGGTCTGCACCAGCCCAGCTAGGGTAGGTGGAGGTGGTGACTTGCTGCACGTTCACACACCTGTGCAACACATAGGCAGTAAAAAGCCTAGCATTGCCAGGCACTGTGCCAGTTCCTGGATTCATTTCTCAACAAAACAAATACAAAGTTCCTAAACTCAGGGAGTTAGAGTTGAGTGAGGAGGATGGAGAATTAAACAAGTTAATTACAGAATGTGAAGTGCTACAGAGAAGACAAAGGAAGTTGAGATCAAAATTGAAAGGGAAGACTAGTTGGGGCAAGGATGGTCTCTCCGAGGAGTTATGTTTAGGGATGAAAGGGGCCAGTCATGTGAGGAACAGGGGCAGAACATTTTAGAAAACAGCATGTACAAAGTCCCTGAGGCAGGACAGGGCTTAGTAAATTCCAGCAACTGGAAAGAAGCCATGTGGTAGGAGCCTGGTATGGACAGAGGATAGGGATATGCAATTGATACAGCTAGCAAGAGGCAAACTATGTTATTTGTATATTCAAAGTTTAATGGAGCCATTGACTTTTTTTAGGCAAGGGAATGACATTTGATCACCCTAGTTTACATTTCAGAACACCATCTCTGCCTGTGCTGTGGAGGGTTAGTAAAAAAGGGGAGGGCTGAGAAACCAGGATGATCTTTAAGAAAGCACTGCAGTGTTCCAGGTGGGCAAGGGGGGACTTGTAGTAGGGTGATGTCAGTGAAGTGAGGGACTGAATGTGGTATGTAAGGGAAAGGGAAAGGGAGGAATCCATCTTCTAGTTGCCTGGCTATTTGATGAGAGAGGAAAAGTCTTGAGAGAGAAATCAAGGGTTCTTTTAGGTGCAATGTCTGTGAGATACTACATGGGAGATGTTCAGTTGATGTGGTTGGACGCATGAGAGTATGAATGATCTGCCAGATGTGGTGTGGTTAATAGTTACCAGTCTGCTGTAAATTCACGGCAGTGGATGAAACTGCCTAAGGCAAGTCTGAGAGGAGAGACGAGGTTGTTGTTGCTCACTGGGGTCAGAGAGAGGACCCTGTGCAGCACGCGGGGTGACCAGGAGCCAGAAGGGCAGGAAGGAAGCCAGAGGGGCGTGGGATATTTCAGAACCAAGAGCAGAAGGTGCTGCCAGGAGTGTGCCTACAGGGCGGAACGCTGTGCGCATGTAGGTCAGGGGGCACACGCCGGAGTCCACATGCAGGGAGACGATGGAACCAAGGTCAGGTTGAGGCAACGGCCGGATGGTGGGGCCAGGGAAGGCTTTAGACACAGCCTGCGAGGCGGTAGCTGAGGGTGTTTAGTACCAAAAGAGAGTTTTAGACAGAAGAGTCCACCTGTGTGCCATCAGGGGTGAGTTAGGAGTTAGAAACGAGCAGAACCACAGGATGGGGAGGGGAGGAAGGGACAGAGAGGACTGACAGCACGCGCTAGGGGACGGAAAGCAGCTGGATGGGGTGCGGCATATCTGTTGGGATGGGAGGATCAGCAGGGTTTGTAGAACTCACGGGAGGCACGGGAGCCCCTGTCTGATGGTGTCTATTCTCAGTAAACTGAGACTCAGGTACAAGGAGGTGGTTTGAGAAGTGAGGCAGAAGTGAGGCCACCTATGTGACACTCCCATCCTGAGGCCCTGCAGCTGCTGGCAGCTCCACGGGGATCTGTTGGCCCTGCCTGAAGAGGACTGGGTGGAAGCAGGAAAGGACTCCTGGAAGAGCCCCTAGGGAGGCAGCAGCAGTCAGCAGGAAGAGGTGGTGGCAGAACAGGCCGCAGCCCAAAATTAAAATTTAATTCATTCATAGTAAATTAGATTATTATTTTTTTCAGGTCAGAGAAAAATTTCCCAAGTTACTGAATTGGAAATAACCATGTTGATGACAGAGGTGTGTTATGCACAATTCTAATATGTATGGACACTAGAGGGCAGCATTGTTGAAAGAAAAAAGCCAGTCTGTGCACCGTTTTTGACTTGTGTGTCGTGGAAATGCATTTGAAAGGTATCTTTCAGTGCATCAATTATGAGTAGGAAAAGGACTTTAGAAAGATTATTTAGTGAAAATTCATGAGCCCCTGAAGAAGACACTCAGACAAACATAATTAAATCTGCTACCCCAAGACTGTATCTAACTCTCCATCCCCGGACTTCTTGATTTTCCGGAAGGCTCAGCCTGAGTGGTTCTCAAGCCCGCTGCACACTAGAAACAGCTGCAGTGAGGTGTGCCTTAAAAACTACCCATGCCAGGCTCCCCTGACCCCTCTGTTGTATCAGAATATTGGAGTGAGGGCCTGGCATCAGTATTTTGCCTGCATGAGTCTAGTGTGTGGCTGTGATTTCGAACAACTTTACCTGTTTACCTGGTCTCAGAATGTAGCCGATAGACTGGCACAATCAGCAGCCCTTGGGGCTTTGTTCCACATGCAAATCCTAGAGGCCCACTCGGACCTCGTAGGCTACAAATTCTTGGGATGGGACACAATGGTCAATATTTTTAAGCACCCTCCAGCCAATTCTGGTACACTGTAAAGTCTGAGAACCTTTATTCCCTTCGCAAGTTAGCCATTTGAGTGGTCACCTTCCCTCACATTTCCTCTTCTCTTTTAGTCTAATTTAATGCTCCATATTATTATCATAAGCAGCTAAATTAGATAGAAATTAATATACAGTTAGCAGGGATTGGGCCCACCAGGAAATCAGCACAAAAAATAGAGATGTAAGAAATGTGACTGGAGGCAAACCTGAAGAGAGTCAGGGCCTCAGGATGGAGGCACAGTAGCCAGGCCTGTGAGATAAACAGCAACTTGAGAGTCTCCTGTAATTAGCACCCCCCCCCCCCCCCGGTCCAGTGGGCCCAAATAGGCAGCAGGCGCATAGCACAGATGGTAAGGAGCAGCACATCTGGACCCATCCTCCGCGCCTTTCCCAACAATACCTTTGATCCCTCCATGTACCCTTCCGTGCGATTCATTTCCCTGCTGGATCAGTATCACTAAGCAGCTGTACTTGTAATTGTACAGGTTGATTGTAGTTTGACCCACACTGTGAGTCTGTGGTATACATTATCCCTCACAAAGCCTTCGTGGCCACCCACTTGGGACAGACCCCTCCAGTCTCTCAGGAGCTTTCTCTTGATAAACCGTCCTTACCCTTAACCTTGTGTGTCCCTTGGAATTCATTCTGCAATATTTTGAGGATACAAACTCAACATATCTGAGATTCGACAGACTGGGAGTTAGTTATATTTTTCCTATGTCACTACAATATAACCTTTAGTTAGCACTATGATACACACACACACACACACACACACACACACACACACACACACACACTTCAGTATGAATTAGAATCAACTGGGGAATTTGATAAAATCACTAGGTTTTAGGTCCTT